TATATATATATATATATATATATATAGGTATATGTGTACCGAATGTTTTCTATGATTTGAAACGAAATCCGCCCACGAAATCGTTGTTAATCCATTGGGATTACCAACAAAAAGAAAAAAAGGAAAAAAAGAAAGAAAAAATATCGTAGAGACGGCAACTTTCTAAGACTGGATGGCAGCGCAGCTCTTTCGCACCTGAATGTTAAGCTTATTGAAATGAAAATAAGCGACTACACTCGATGTTCCATGTTACGCATCTGACGTGGAAGCAAGTTGCGAATACTTCCGTAGAGATTGATAGGTGAACGAATATCATTCACGGTCCGGAAAGAAACGATAAATGTAATTTTCCCTTCTTTTCGAGAGGACAGAATGCGAGAAGTGGTTGCCATCGGTTGGATTGATCCGCGCAATCGATACCTGATGTAATCAGGCTATCGTTTCAACGGAAAACGTATAAGAACGAGTAGAGGTATGATTAGTATAATGGAGATATTCGAGTCGTCCGGTGTCCCCGGGACCTTGTTCAGACACGAGTTGTCTGATATCTCGGGGAACATCAGAAAGCAATGTTCCGAATGAAAGTATCTTTTACAGTGTTTAGGTAATTAATTGTATAATCGTAAGAGGATCATTATTTAATATACATGTACTGTGATGTAAATATTGTAAACTAAGTATATATATATATATGTGTGTGTATATATATATATATATACACACATACAACACACACACACAATATAAAATGTTGCACATATTTATTCGTTTCCACCATCAATTCCCCGCTTTGTGAGAGTGTGTGTGTTTGAAAGTGTCATTAGTTTGGATCACAGAAGTCAGTCTGTTGGAAATTAGGAATTCCTCGAGATTGAGAAATTTTAGAACTTCGAGATATTTTCCAGATCTTTTAATTTCTCGGGCCCGTGGATTTTCAGGTCCCAAGTGCTCGAGTTCCTTTCGTTTACTTTCGAAATTAATTAATTTAGAAATTCAGTAACTTTGGGACTTTAGAATCTTCGGGACTTTCTGAGATTTTAGGACTTACGGTTTCGAGTTTTCTTGGATTTTTTAGGTTTTCTTTGAGTGGTGAAAATTCTTCACTCTTCGATAGAAGAAAGGGGGGAGAGAAAAGAACTTTAGAATTGGAAGGTAACAACAATGCTTGTTTAACAGTAAAAGACATTTTTATTATTAACAGTACGGTTTACAATATTACGGTAATGTGTGTACAGCATAGAGGAACGGGACAATATCAAATACTCATGCACGACTTCCTTCAGATTTATGTACAAAAGCTACAGGATACGTCTATGTACAGTCTCATTTTCAAAATTAAATACTTCGTAGGAAAAGTTTCGAAATATTTCAAAAGCTACCATGTGCACAATAAAATTCATAAAAGCAATTATTGAGAGACGAGATTTCCTTCAAAAAAAATTGTAATTTCCCTTCTCGTTCGATTGCACTTTCGCCAGGTGTAGTGTTCGACCAATTAAAGTAATTGCAAAACGCAAATATAAATTACCATTGAAATAAATAATTGTCACCTTGTCTATCCGTACGCTATAGAATCCTAATCTATTCGTAGTATCACCTGTCGCGTTGTTACCTTAAACAATTCGTTTTTGGTATCTACAAAAAAAAAAATCTCAATTATTGAAGATCTTTTAGTCTAGAAATCAAAGAGCGTTTCCATTTAAAAAAAAAAAAAAAAAAAAAAACAAATCTTTCTTAACAAAATTTCGAAATCCTAAAATTTGTTTCCTTCATAATTGGAGATTTTTCTTCAAACAATTGGAAACTATATTGTGACAAAGAACTAAATTGAAACTCGAGAATAGTAATAATCGCCGTTCTCACGAATACTTTGATGAGAGTTCTCGGGCAGAGTTACCCTGTTTGATGACAGAATTGAGCTTGAAGATGATTGGGTGTGGTCGGTGTTAAAGGAGTGAGAGGTGTTAGTGGACTGCCAGGACTCTCGCTTCCTGCACTGCCACCTTGATATCCTCCTAAATAGGCACCTACCATATTTACGCTGGTAGAATACAAGTCTCCGGGATGATGTTGTATCGGTGGTGAATGATGCACTAAATAAAAAGAGAAAAATCAATTCCTTTCTTTTAGGAGTGAAAATACAAAGGACAATTAAAACAAAGGAAAATTTTCGTCTCCCTCAATCCCGATAATATTGGTAACTACATCGCGGATTTTTGTACACTTAAGAAAGTAAGAAGCTGTGCGTACAAATGCGCTGAATGCGTGTGTAGAAATATATAAAAAAAGGAAAAAAATAAATAAATGAGCAGTTTAATAGATATAAGATATCCAGATAATAAACGAGACGAAAGTTTGAGTTTCATTTCTTTCTAAACGCACAAAAATCCGCGCTCAACTGATGACGGCATAAACCAGCCAGACGAAATTAATATACGAATGTAAATCTCTCAAATGGCGAAACGTTTCAATTATCTTTCTTTGACAACGAATTGTCTATCGATAATCAAAGCTATATCTTTATTAGTTTTCGCTTTCTCACTTTGCGTTTTGATCTTTCCACTGTGCTTCTTCTGTCTGGCCCTGGAGTTTTGAAACCAAACTTGCGTGACCCGTTTGCTCAGACCGGTGACATGAGCAATTCTCTCGAGATCCTGGCCATCGGGATTGCTGTCTATTTGAAAGTTCGCTTGCAAAACCGACAGTTGCTCCTCCGTGAACGTCGTCCTCACCCTCTTCGTCTTGCTACCCTTGCCACCGTGTTCCGAGTCGCAGTCTTCCGAGGACGAGGTATTGTTTCCCTCCACCACGTCGAGATAGTGAGCCTTGCAGAGCAGTCTGGCATCTAAGAGAGCGAATTGCTCGCCAGTGGAGAGTTGACGAGAACAAGCGTCACAGGCGAAACAGGCCAGGTGATAAACCCTTTCCCTGGCTCTTCTTACCCAATCGCCAGCACCCACGCTTCGGCCACACTTGGCACATTTTGCTCCGAAAGTCCTAGACAAAGATTACTTTAGTTAATTATATTCCTGAATTTTCTTCACACACACGACAATTCACAAATCCAGAGTTTTCCACGAGAATAAATGAAGGGAGCCGTTTAACCCTGCGTTTTAAATAAAAATCGATTCCTTGTGATTCCATAATTTATCAACACGAGATCCGAGAAGAATAAGCGGAATTTTTCTATGAGAAAAGAGAGAAAGAGAGATCGAGGTGAGTAACGAGGCGGTGGCATGCCGCGGTGAAAATGCGAAGCGGTCGTAAAGAATTTCGCAGGCACGCAGCACGCGGCCACCTGCGGCAATGGCGCCAATAAATTCAACGATGGCTAGCTCCGCTTCTCCGCGATTTAACTCTTACTCCGACTCTAACGAACGCGTTCCCTGCCAACCGCTAAAGAAAACATTTCCCGTCAACGATTCTCTTCGCGTGTTCCAACGTTCACCTGTCGATAATGCGCCTCTTGGTCCGGAAAAAATCGCGATTCCTGAATTTCCGGAAACTTTGTTCAAAGGAGAGAGAGCTGAGAGAAGAATTATAATCGTCGATTAATATCACTGTCAAGTTGCTGTGGATATTTACATTCTACAAGGAAATATTTTACATACTTTTCTGAATTCTCTGCAATTTTCCGCTTTCAAATGTCGTACATTTTTCTCACAAGTAAAAATGCCGAACCCCGTGAAAAGTTTGTTTTACGTTGGACACTTTGCATGCTTCTCCGCAATCTGTGCGATTTCCAGCGTTCAAATTACACATTATTGACCGGAGACTCGTGTCATATGACGTCTTCTGATAATTGGCTGGGTATTGTACAATTTGATTGTGGCTAAGTGATATTTGAATGTGAATTGTGAAATTCTCAGACTTGTGGAAAGACTTGTGTTATTTTAAGTGAGTTCAAGTTGCCTGAAATTTTTAAATTGCAATCTGCTGAATGCAGTTACAATAATATCCACAGGAGTAGAAAAAAGAAAGTGCGGTGAACCGAGGTACATTTGTAATAAATGTTGCGTTCCCCTTCGCACAGGTGCTTGCTGTACAGCTGTATCATTCTCTTAAAAAATATTAAAATACACATGCATAAAGTTTCAAATAAATACATATACGTAATAATAAAGTTGTTCGTATTATATATATATATATATATAGTATACGTGGATTGTTTCTTTGCCACTTTTCAGGAAAAATCGCCGGCCACACGCGTCAGTTTCTAGAAAAAAAGCCCCGGTCGATAATGTGCGTTAACAGTGTTTTCAACAATTACGTTCGCTTCATTCGACAAAAATCCCACCCTCTGGCTCGCTTCTCGGTCCACACACCTTTTCTCCCTTTTTCGCTTCCTCCCTTTATTTATCACTCCTTTTTCAGCACGGTGCGCGCGAGTGAGTTTACATGCACGCAAACAAAACTGCTCGGAGCTCGCGCTTCGGGGTGCACGGCGCGGTCATTTATTTGTCACCGGGACGACCGGTACTCGGCTGGCTTGTTCCAGGTAAACGCGCGTTCGTGCGCGACGCGTTATCTAAGACCGTTCCTGCCGAGTGCTCCGCCGCTCTTCCACGTACGAATTATTTCTGCGCAGCGGCCATTGCCGATGCCCGCGAAC